AGGGGTTTTGGAGTCTCTGGGTCCTTCATGCGCAAGTTCGAGCCTTGTCGAGCCCATCCCAAGGCCGGTGTTTAGAGAGCCTGGTCTCCCGTGACCTGAACAAAACGAAGCCTTTTAGATGACTTCAATTAAGCAGAAAGCTTTTAATCTATGTCATGGATGCTTCCATTATGTTAAGGCTTCTAAGGGAGATAGAATCTTCATTGGGCTCTCTGGGTTTCGGGGGGTAGGAATACAACTGCTGTTCTCGTGCCCGGAGGTCACCTCCTTTGGGAGTTCGAATCATGTACGGGCACTTTACAACACTCTATACCACAGTCTAGAAACTCTACAATGCTGAATAATGTTCTATAGACCAATAGTTTTCCATAGACCCTATAAGTGTTTGGGGCACCGCCTGTGTTCTGTTGCAGGACCGCGAGCCTGAGCCCCTTGGCACTGCGGAGAAGTCTAGAGTTTAATGTGTCGGAGCAACTTGGGCTGGAAAGGCCAGCTGCGTCCGAACCGTGACGCACATGTCCTGACTATCTTTCGTTATGTGTGTGTGTGTGCATGTGTCGAGCAATATGCCGACATACACCCGCCTTGTCTGTTTCCATGCATGTATGGTTGCCTCGTATGTTGTATGTGCGCAGGCATGTGGTGTATGCTTAGGTGCAAAGTTGTGCATGCGTATGTAGAGCTTGTAGCCACCTCTACACACTACCTTGTTCAAGTACCCTTTGTACCTGCCATCCATAGCCATGGCATGTATGACATGTTCCAACCAACTGGCATCGTCGGCTCTGCCGGTTCGAGAAGCACACTCGAAGCTGGCAAACCACTTCTGGGCCTAGTTACCAAGCCCGCACGGCCCGAAATCAGCAACTATGAAGCCCCTCTGCTGATAAGGGGCGTCGAGACGGACTCCTTATGGATCAGAGAGGCTGGGTAGCTCGAAGGGGGCCTTAGCGGGTCTGGATTCTTGTATGCTCGAAATTGGCAACTGCTTAGATCTTTCCAGGCTGTCAATACCAACCTATGCCGCTGCAGTCTTGCCTTTGCGAAACAGACGACCTCCGGGAGCCCTGGTCATCAACACTAGCATGGCAGCCGGAAGTATCCTCAAACCGGCCGCCCACACCGGCAGACCCATCCTTTATCACGTCTTCGGTTGTTGCCCATGAAGGTCCAGCTACTGGAGTGGGGAGTAGTATTACCTGAGTTGTGTGGCAAAAGTGGCTGGAGTATGGGGCGCATCGGGTCCGCATTACAGCTCAACGAACGGACGTAGCAAAGCGGTCATGTTCCAGGGCCACGCGCAGGGTATTCCTGGTACTTGGAACCTAATTAGTTTGTCACCGACTGGCCAACCCTAGTGAACCTTGGAGCTGTCAGACCTTAATTGCAACCTCCCTGGCAGGCTTGCTTTGTACGCTATTGTCCTTAAACCACCGGTGTGTCGTACGTACATAATTCCTCGCTGAGACTGTCCGAGAAACACTCGCAACAGAAAGTGCGCAGTTGTCGGATTCTTTATGAAATCCGGAGCCCTGTTGAGAGGTTCCAGTCGATACCCAGAGACTCCAATATCCC